TTTTGATATTATAATTGATTTATTTTTTTTATATATTTGTGACCATAATTGACAAAAGGTACCTTATGGCGGGTAGTGAAATTTGTCTTTCTAGCCTAAGAAATCCAACTTCCTGAGCCCCATTTATCATAAAATTACTCCACAGGATGCAAAAAGTTACCATGAAACTTTTAGAAACAATGATTATCTAACAAAGCACTCACAGGTTGATATTTGCCATTATTAAGATCAATTTTAAAATCCACCATAAGGGCCCTTTTGTCCATTATGGTCACATTTGTTATTTTTGTTTTCTTTTTTTTCATTTTTTATTGTTCTTAATTTTTTATTTTTCTTTTATTGGTTTTTTTGATATTATGATTTTATTTATGTTATTTTTTATTTTTTAATAATCATTAATTTTTTATTTGTTTTATTTTTTAAATTTTTTTATTGTTTTTATTTTTTTCATTTTTTAAATTATTTTATTAATATTTTTAATTTTTACTCTTATTTTTTTATTATTTTTTAAATTTTTTAATTTTTTTTAATGTTTAAAATTAAAAAAAATTAAAAGGGTGAGCCTAAGCAAGCTATAGATTTTGTGCTTTGGGGAAGCAAAGATTCATTAAACTGACATTATACTGTTTTTCTATAACTTCAGAATCTCTGCATGCAGCAATTAGAGTTATCTTGCTTAATATAGTATTGAAGATAGTTAGAAACAATCACTCAAGAAATTATATTTAACAAAAGAAGCTCAGCACAATAGCTAAGCTTAGTCTATGCATAAAAAATAGTTGTGTAAGCTTCTGTGCACTCGCTTGTCTTTGCAATTTTGTATCCAAGTGATTTAAGTCCTTTATGTCAAGGAAGAAGATTGTATATCTGCTTTTTCCAAACTTCTTTGCTGCAAGAGAAGTTTTTTTATCTTACCTTGCCACAATTTGCTGCAAAAAAGATTAGACTTCCTAATAGCCACCATTTTATTTCATTGTGACCATACCTGCTTTCAATGAAAATATGATTAAGATAATAGTTAGACCACCAGTCGGTCCCGTACAGACATTTCTAGCCTTAGTGGGGCTCGCTTTTGCTCACTCCAATAATACTTACAATAATTATGCTCCTAGTGTCAGTGACAGTATAATGAAATTGGAAAATAGTAAAACTTGCCAAAGACCCTGCACTATAGTACAGGGTGTTTGGCCAGATTTTTGGGCATTAAAATTCATACAAAATTTAAATTTGATTTAAACCTGCTCAAAATTTCTGCACAACATATAAGTTCATGTATATGCGTCAGAAAATGTAATAAATATTATTCTTTATGATTTAATGACATAAAAACTAGAAATGGCTTTCAAATTATGATGTATACATGTAAGTGTGTGTATATAATTTAACTTATGCATAAATCCTTCTGTTATAGGTGCAATAAAGTTAGTTGATGCATTTTTTGGTGAAGGATCAAGTCCTGTTTTACTTACTGATGTTTACTGTTCATCTCCAAATGACTCATTATTGAATTGTTCCATTAAATATACATCCCAGGTATCTAACAGAAACCGTAATCATGTCATTGGAGTCAAGTGTCAATGTATGCTATGATTCAAGTTATTCACTTAAAGTTAAAGTTGATTTTTAGATTATTGCAATCACAGTAGTATCAGATTAGCTGATAGTTCAGATTCTTTGCAAGGTCGTGTTGAAGTGTGTGTTAATGGCGCATGGATCAGTATATGTAGAGGTTACTGGTATGGCAATGATGCTAGTGTTGTCTGTAGACAACTAGGATTCCCTCCTGAAGGTAGAAATAACATTATGTGCTTATGTTGAAATAAAATATATTTTAGGTGCTATTGCTAGTTTAGTTATGGAGTCTTTTACTGGTACTTCATTTCATATTACATATATTGGTTGTAATGGTAATGAAGAAACTATATTAGCCTGTTCTTATAGCATGTTGCAAAGCAGTTGTCCATTAAATGAAGTAGCTTATGTACAATGTCCAGGTATGCACACATTGCATATGATGTGCATTAACTATTACCTCAATACACTAGTACCTGACACAACTGATGATTGTTCCAATGGGGCTATTAGATTAGTTAAAGGAGAGACAGAGTATGAAGGTTTGGTAGAGATATGTGCTGATGGTTCCTGGGGATATATCTGTCCTCACAGCTGGAAGGAAAGTGAAGCAATGATAACTTGTAGGCAATTAGGATATACTCCAATTGGTCAGTATATTGCATTAATTGTGCTAAAAATACTTGATCTAAAATGTTAACTATTTATATAGGAGCCACTACTTCATCTTCATTTGGTAAAGGTGCTGGCCCAGTTCAGTTCTCAAGTTTTTATTGTTCAGGAAATGAGAATAATTTACTGGATTGTATGCACAATAACTTATCTTGCTCTGTATCCTATCATGCTGGTGTTATATGCCGAGGTATTAATTGTATTTTCTTGTAATTATAATTTATTGATTCATAGCTCCTTGTACTAATGGAGAGGTACGTTTGCAAGGTGATAGCAGATATAAATCATTCGGACGTGTTGAAGTGTGCATTAATGGTACATGGGGAACTATCTGTGATGATTACTGGGATAGTAATGATGCTAGTGTAGTATGTCACCAATTGGGATTCTCACCTTATGGTAAGTCTTTGTGTGATTTACAGTAATGTACCCTTTGTGATATTAAACTATGCTCATTACAGGTGCCATAGCCAAGACTTCTTTTTATGAAGAAAGTATTCTTCCTCATGTTTTGTTTAATATGAGCTGTACTGGTAATGAAGAGACTATATTTAACTGTTCGTACAGCACTAAACTACCATCTGGCTCTGATTGTCATTCAACTGAAGATGCTTCAGTCATTTGTCAAGGTATATATAATGTTTAAAACCATTCATTATTTTGAATCCAGCCAAGATTGTTGAGTTGATGCAAATTGGTTCTATTTCTATTAAAATTTCTAATATTTTTAAAAATTTTAATTTTTAGATATTAATGTTCCTCATTCAAATTGTACTAATTATGATGTCAAACTGGTTGGAGGTGAAACTGGTAATGAAGGAAAAGCACTTATGTGTCTTAATGGAGTATGGGGAGCTTTCTGTAACAACAGTTATACTAGATCTATCAGCGATATAATCTGCAATAATGCTGGATATTCTAGAAGTTAGTTAGACAAATAAAATTTTTTATCTGTAATTATGTTTTTGTAATCACTACATTGTGTATCAGGATTGAATATGTAGATATCATGAATTGTTCAGTATTAGCTAAAAGTTTTATTGCCTCACTTTTATAATTGATCTTTATCAAAACATTATTCTATAATAACTTACACTAATTTTTGATTATGAATTTTTTAATTAAGCATTGTAAATTGCATTTTCCAAGAAGATTACTTATAATTACATGTCATCCAATATTTTATTTTATTGTATTACGTTTATAGGAGGATCATTTTACTCAGCATTTTTTCCTAACCCATCCAATGAGGTGATACTAGTATCAGATTTAAACTGTTCTACAACTGATGAAAAGATTCAAGATTGTTCAGTTAGTCACTACATGCCACCTTCATCCTGTGATGTCTTGGATATTGTTGCTGTTAGATGTCAAAGTAGGTGGACAGTTTGGTGGCCTAGTATAGTGCTTAGCTTCTTGCCAGCTCATGCGGTGTGCTGTTTAGCTTGCTCTGCAGTAGAGCTTTGTAGAAAACCTTGATTCATGGTAGATGTATTTTTTAATGGCTAGGAAATAATTTTTCATTACAAAATTTTTTTTTCTGATACACATGTTCTGTTGTTGTATATTTAGTGTGAGCTGATTCTAATCATATTTGGATTTTTATGAACTTTTAAAGTTGCCTGAAAATTTGTCATAAGTCACTGTATTATACATAGTACAGGGTTATGGGCCAAATTTTGTCAAAAATTTCAAATGAAAGAATTCTCAATTTTTATAAATTTTCCTGACATATATGCATCTACTAATGTTGTGTAGAAAGTTTGGATGGATTCTAATTAAAGTGGAATTTTTTATGAATTTTTAAAGTTGCTCAAAAATTGGACAAAAGTCCCTGTACTATAGTACAGCGTCATTTGTCAAATTTTGGCAAAAATGTCAACAAAAAAATTTTTAACTTTTATAATTTTTCCTGATATATACTAATGTACTCATGTTGTGTAGAAAGTTTGAGTAGATTCTGATCAAAATTGAATTTTTTATGAATTTTTTAAAGTTGCTCAAAAATGGACAAATTATCTATCAGAATAAACTACAAATCATTCATTTTTTATTTTATTTTTTCCATCATGCAGACTGTACTAATGGAGCTATCAGGATTGTTCCTTATTATAGTCCAAGTGATAGTGTTGGTCGTGTTGAAGTATGTTCTGACAATTCTTGGGGGACCTTATGCAGTGATTTCTTTGATGATTCTGATGCACAAGTTGTATGTAGGCAACTCGGATACTCTGCAATAGGTATGTGCTACATTATGTCATAATAGACATTAATATTAGATTTGCCTGTACACTGACTGAGCCTTTCTAAGCATAAATGTGCTTTTCAATTAATTTGAATATTGTTAAGATACATTTTGAGCACATTTGAGTAGTCAATGTGGTACAGTCATGGTTTTTATAATTGCCTTGCCTTTGCTTTTACTTTATTTCTTTTAATGAGACTTCTCTTGGTTAAATGGTCCAATGTACTTGTAAATCGGGCCAACTTTTGGAGGAATTTTTTTAATATCTTAGAAATAGCTCGAAATCAGCTCAAATTTATTGCACATTATGCCGACTACAACAATTGTTCACTAATAATTTGTGTATCATCAATAGGATCTGTTTCAGTGGGACCAATAAGTGATGATCTCTCTTATACTCATATCATTGATATCAATTGCACTGGCAATGAGTCCAATATAAGAGACTGTCCAAGTAATAATCTTCCTAGCTACTTTTGTCAACCAACTCATGATGCTGGAGTTTTTTGCAATAGTAAGTCATTACCAATATTTCTAATGTTGCTGTTAAGCTAAGATGCATTATAACGTACAAGCACTCACTGCAAAAATGAGATATTTTATTTGCTTTTGATGTGTGTAATAATGTTGTTCAATGCATACAAATAGCATGTTTGATCTAATTTCTAAAGTACATTGTTTTGAATATTTATTTATAATTAAGGATCTATTGTATTTGTTAGAATTGTTAATGCAACAATGTTATTATGCTATTTTAATATTTGAAATAATGTATAGGTGTCCCATTAAATGACTATGCTAACTGCACTGATGGAGAGTTAAGATTAGCTGGTAGTACTGAGCTGAGTGGACGTGTTGAGATATGCTACAATAGAGTATGGTATGGGATCTGTTCTGATAACTACAATAAATACAATATACCTACTACCATATGTAAAGGACTGGGCTACTCATCACAAGGTAGATTTAATGTCTATGCATTTCGCTCTCAAATGAAGAACTGTGCATGGTTACCTTAGTAATATATATATATTTTTTATCAATGTTCATTCCTTAGGTGCAGTTGGTAATATAATGGAAGGGTATCCTTCAATACCAATTCTTCCTTTTGAATTCAATTGTTCTAGTGATGTTGACTCACTATGGAATTGCTCTAAGTCTATCATTAGGTGTTCCAATGGACCTTATAAATACACTGCAGTTACTTGTCAAGGTGAAATTTTTGTGTAAAATTTAATCAGTATATGAACCAATAATTTTACATTAGCTAAATGTAATGATTTGGATGTACGTTTACTTGGAGCTTATGATAACATTGGAACAGTTCAAATTTGTGTTGATGATAAATGGGGCTCTGTTTGTCATGATGGATTTGATGAATATGGAGCCGCTACAGTGTGTGCACAATTAGGCTATATACCTTATGGTTAGTTATTAAGCATGATATCATTATTAATGATAGTTGTATTGTAGGAGCTCTCATTGTATCATCATTTGTTTACAAATACAGTCTTCCTTTTCAAATTAGTAATTTGAATTGTAATGGCCGGGAAAATAATTTACAAAATTGTTCATATACTTTGATAAAAACTGGATTTTGTGTCTATGTCACTGGACTTATATGTCAACGTAAGTTCAATTAAAATTTGTCATAAATTTACAATTTAAATTGTGATACATTAGGGAGTAATACAAGTATTGATGTTACATGCACTGATGGAAGTATTAGATTGACTGGTGGAGCCAATGAACTTGAAGGGAATGTTGAAATATGTATCAATAAATACTGGGGATCAGTGTGTGACAATGATTGGGATTCTTATGGAGTGGCTTGTAAGAGGCTTGGTTATCGATCTTCAGGTAGGGTTCACTGTGATTTCTTTATTTTAGTAGTGAATCTAAATTGTTTACAAATTTTTGTTGAAATGTTCTTGCTAATTTTGTATACAATGATTCTAATTTTGCTGAATTGATGTACTATTATTAAAAAAGTTACAACAACTAATGTGCTATTAAACTTTTGCTTTTCACACTTATAAACATAATCATACAATATAAATTCCTTAGTTCTTAATTCTAGTAAGTAACTGTATTTTATTGTTATATATACATGTGTAGGTGCCAAAGGATTTTATAGAAGTTATTTCGGACAGAGAATACCAGCCACTGTTTTTATTAGGACATTGTATAGTTATGGACAAAAATCATTGCTGGGTGACTTTGTTTATGGATCTGGTGCAGTTACTTCATGTGGAGATACAGACAGAGCCGGTTTATCTTGTTTTGGTAACATATGTTCAAATTCATTCACTTACCTTAAATTTATTAATTTTATCTAGCTGGTTGTGATGATGGTGATGTAAGGCTAAATGGCTCTGATACTGTATATTCTGGTCGTGTTGAAATGTGTAAAGATTCAGTTTGGACATCACTCTGTGACCACAACTGGGATTTGAAGGAAGCACAAGTAGCTTGTAGGGATCTAGGATATTATCCCTTTGGTGCAGTGCCAACATATGGCTGCTATAATGAGGGACAACTATCATTTGGTATTACTATCAACTGTACTGGCTCTGAAAGAGTTTTATTTAATTGTGGACATAATAATCTTACACTCTATAACTGTCAATCTCATAATAGTGCTGGACTCATTTGTCAAGGTAAATATTATAACGATGTGACAATTTCAATTATGTCATGATAGAAATGAATATTATTAATAGTATTTGACTTTTTTAGATAGTGTACGGAGATCCAGTTGTTCTAATGGTGCAGTAAGACTGGTTGGTGGTAGTGGACCTCATGAAGGAAGACTTGAAGTGTGTATCAATGAAGCATGGGGCACTGTCTGTTCTAATGGCTGGGATAACACTGAGACTAATATTGTCTGTAATCAATTAGGATACCTACCATTTGGTACTTATGATTATTATTACTTGTTAATTAAACACTGATATAGGAGGGAGGTACAAGAGCTTTGGTCATGGTACTGGTCTTCCAATATTAATGTCTAGTCTTCAGTGTGTAGGGACTGAGAGCTCACTACTGGAGTGCCATCAACAAGCCTGTGATATTACTAACTGCACTCATGCTTATGATGTTGGAGTTATATGTCAAAGTGAGATTCAGTATACCATATAGGTGTTTTGATAAATTGAACTGATAACCATTGGCCAAATCCTGTAATTGATTTTGAATTAATAATGTAATTTATATTCAATAAATTTTGGCAGATCCTATAGTATTATTATTGCATGTACATGCATCATAGTACCATATGCGTTCAAATTTTTGAGGGTTCAAAATTTTATGTTTTCAATGAAATTTGCTCAAAAGTTAATATTCATGTGAGCTAATTTTCATGTTCTGGCCATAGTTTACATACAATAGAATGGCATTAGAGGTGGTTTAAATTTCGTGGATTTAAGGTGAGCACGAAAATAACAAAATTTAATACACCTCGAAAATTAAGACGCATACAGTAATTGTATTGTTATAAACTTTTTAATCCTGTGCAAGTACTTGTACACGTAGCTTCATGCATGCAATAAAATGTTTGAATTATATTCTTTTTGCTGTAGAGCCTGCAGTTCCATCGTCATCTACAAATTCACTTTTTTCATCAACACATTCATCTACTACTTCACTTGCTCCACCTTCTTCCTTTACTTCTTCATACTCTACTCCTTCATCTTCACTTTCATCATCTGCTTTACCTTCTACCTCAACAGCAGCATCCTCAGTTTCCTCACCATCAGTCACTCCTACTCCAACTCTTCCAGCAAATTCAGGAGTAATTGTTGTTTTAAGTGGAACCAACAAGAGAAATGTAAGCAGCATTATCATAAGTTTAAAATAATAAATTTCACCGAATTATTCCTCATTCGTATATATAGTTTAATGCGAGCCATTTCCAGGATGTAACTGCAGAGGCTTTGAATGATTATTGCAGTATCAATGACTGCAATGCTTTACCACAAAAAGGAAAGAAGTAAATTATATTAAGTTGATATAATTCAATTATTATTTTTATTTTAGAGCATCAAAAAATGTAATAGGAGCCAATAATGTAATCATTGTACAGACTATTGATTCAGACTTTGAGCTAGCAGTAACTTTTTATGTCCAGAGTTCATCTGGAGCTCCCATTGACTCTAGTGCAGTGTTTGAAGCTGTTAAGGCAAGTTATTGTACCTAATAATGACTGTAAAAACCTTATTATATTGAATTGATTGCAATCAAGAGAGACTTTCTAAGTTTTAAAGTGTTCTAAATAAACATGGGCAATAGCCATGTATTCTATAACCACTAGACTATACATTTCTGCCATACTGGGCCATCATGATTTTTTCCTCACATGCAAAGTCTCTGTTATTACATGTACATGTATATGCAATGTATATGAAATATACATATATTTGGTCTCAGGCCAAATTTTGTCAAAAATAATAATATTGTTAAGAGAAAAAATTTTTCCTGATGTATATGCATGTTTTTAAGCTGTGTATCAACTTGAGCTGATTTCAATCAAATTTGGATTTTTTATGAATTTTAAAAGTTGCTTGAAAATTTGGCCAACCTATAAATGCTATATATACATACTAACAAAATGTGCTTACTTTTAGGAAGCTGATTCAAAATATTCCAGTGCTGGTTTCAAAATCGCTACCCTTACAATAGTAGATCCACTAAATTCAATGACTCCTACAATTTCAATTACTTCAAATGATGGTAAAACGCTGTCTGCAGGACAAATAGCAGGGATTGTGATAGGAGCTATAATTGGAGCCCTGCTCATTGTGATTATTATTATTACTATTGTGACATGGAGGTGTTTATGGTGAGCTTTCCAAAGCTGCTGCACATCTTATACTTAATTTTTTTAGTAGAGGCTACAATCAATGTCCATCTTTAAAAGAAGGAATCTCAATGAATGACAGTGACATGCTTGTTCAGAATATTTATGATGATCCTAATCCTGAAGGTATCTCTTCGAATACACGACATGAGAAACTGCAGAGAGTGTGTATACATTATTGATTGTATGTCATGTAAATTTATAGGTTCAATTCACAGTTTCAAGTCCAAGAGTAGTCATAGTAGAGAAGTCAGTGAAAATGAAAGTCAATCCAAAAGTTCATGTGGTCAGCTCAAAAATGAAGTACTTGAAATTTCTAAAGAAACTCATTTGTAATTGTGATATTTATACTGAGAGAGTAATTTTGATATTTTAATCTATTGTTAATTTGTGCATATACCTGCATGTCCATTGTGGATATTATGGTGTTTTTTAATAACAGTTGTCTTTATTAACAATCAAAGCCTCCACAAATAAATTTGCAAGAGCCACTTCTCTATTGTTATTTATGGCCAAAGAACCACCAACTGACCCAGAGTGGAATATCCCTTTAGACCATGTGTAAAGGAAATGTATAAATTTAGATTTCATTACAAAATTGTGATGCATATGTATGAGGCTTAAGCCCTCCATACACCAAGTATCATGTTGCTAGCAACATTTGTGGTTATTCTTTAATTGATCTCAGGTTTAATTAGCAGCTAATTAGTTTTATGTAACGCCTACTCTATATCCTATGGCTAGCGCTACAAAGCATAGCTAGACGGCTTTGTACAGACTGTTCTCTCCGCATAGAATAATGTCTGAGGTTTGTTTATAACATATTTTAAAGTGGAACAACGTTTTACACCGTGTATAAATGTAGTTGGATAGCAAACTAGCAGTTGCTGTCAATGAAAAACGGATCTTTGATGTAGCTAAAGCACTGAGAGATGGAGCTAGCCCTGATGCCGTGTACAAGGGAAAGGTAAGCCTGTAAGATACCAATAGGAAGCACATCCTCTCTCCCTCCTTTTTTGTTTTTGTGCCCATGCATAGTCTCAGTATTAATTTTATTCAAGGCCAAAAAACAATGCCATAATAGCCAGGGGCATGCCGCATAGAACTTATAACCAGATGTACTTGGATGTCTATTATATAATTGAAATTGTTGGTTTGATAACATAAGCCTTACTTAGTGTCAATCATGTGATATAACATGCATGATAGACAATTGATTAGTTAGTTAGCATGGTTTCGCTCTTACTATCCAAATTTTTTCATTACTAGTTTAATTTTTATTTAATTTATAGGGAATGATTCATATTGCTGCAGAAAAGAATTATGTTGTTATTCTCAAACTGTTGATACTTCATAATGTGTCATTGGAGAAGACTATGAGCACACATACAGAAGTAAGTCAGACTACCGTCTCTAATTATATATAATTGTTAACAAGAGTAAATGAGTTAATAATGGATTGTTATTTACTCTTGTCGTTAATGCTTGAATGTTTTAATTACTCAATTAGGACGATCTGACAGCTTTACATGTGGCAGTAATTCATGATCATAGGGATATTGTCTGTCTTCTCACAAAGACTGGAGCAGATGTGAATAAAGAGACTAAAGTCGTTAACAGACAATCCATAGTTGATTATTACAATAGTTATTTCTAAATACATAGAATGGTCAAACCCCTCTGGACATTGCAAGGGAAAAGGATCACAGGTACTGTGTTAGTGATCTTGAGGATATTGGAAACTTGGTTAGATGAATTTATAATGATTAATTTATATCATTTAGCAGGACAAATAGCAGGGATTGTGATAGGTGCTATGATTGGAACTTTGCTCATTGTGATTATTATTGTTATTGTGATAAGGAGGTATTTTTGGTGAGCTTACAATAGCTGCTGCACATTTATACTTAATTTTTTGTAGTAAAGGCTATAATCTCAAAGAACAACAGTGACATGTTTGTTCAGAATATATATAATGATGCTTCACTTCCTAATCCTGAAGGTAAATCAGTGAGTACATGACTTCAAAAACTGCAGAGAGTGTGTATACATTATTGATTATATGTAATGTGAATTTATAGGTTCAATTCACAGTTTAAAGTTCAAGAGTAGTGATAGTAGAGAAGTCTGTGAAAATGAGAATCAATCCAAAAGTTCGTGTTGTCAACTCAAAATAGTTTCCAAAGAGAAACTCATCTGTAACTGTCATATTTGTACTGAGAGAGGAATTGATATTTTAATCTTTTGTTAATTTGTGCATTTACCCGCATGTGCATCGTGGACGTGGATATCATGGTGTTTTTTTTTAATAACAATTGTTTTTATTAACAATCAAAACCTCCACAATATCAATTCCCTGGTAAAGAGCAATTTGGATCTCAAATAAGCAAGAAATTTTTATTTGACTTTAAGAACTTGATACATGTGCATGCATGACTGTAATGAAGAGGCAGGACCAGACTATAGACTGTCCTGTAATTAACACACATCAGCTTATTATTGTTATTTTTAACATACATCAGTGTAATTTGTCACATTTACAGGTTATTATGCCTCAAATTTATGTGTCAAGATTACTTAAACCTATCAAAGTCTTTTGCTATAAACTAGATGATTAGGCGATTTGGTAGAGTAGACTACATAACACTTGTCAAGAGCAAGGTGTAGCTTTAGACCTTTAGATCTATATTGATTTAATTCAAAGTTTAGTTTGATGAAATAAATTAAAGTCTCAGACTCTCAGCTAGAGACTAAGGACAAAGTACTTTTTGTAACATGATTATGATTTCAGCTTGTATGCATTATTAAACATTAATTGGAAGAAGTCATACAAAGCTTAATTAGGATAGTCTAATTAGTTTTATGCAACGCCTACTCTAGCTAAAAATAAATAAAGAATGGTTCAGACCTCGGGCTAGACGCCTCCCTGTCCAGATTGTCTTCTCCTCATAGAATCATGTCTGAGGTTTGTTTGTTACTTATTTTAAAGCAGAGCTATGCTTTACACCGTGTCTAAATGTAGTTGGATAGCAAACTAGCAGTTGCTGTCACTGAAAAACGGATCTTTGATGTAGCTAAAGCACTGAGAGATGGAGCTAGCCCTGATGCCGTGTACAAGGGAAAGGTAAGCCTGTAAAAATACCAATAGGAAACACAGCCTCTTCCCCTCCTTTTTTGTTTTTGTGCCCATGCATAGTCTCAGTATTTTTTCAAGGCCAAAACAATGCCATAATAGCCAGGGGCATGCATTGAATTTATAACCAGACTTACTTTGAAGTCTAATGTAATTGAACGGTTGGTTCGATGACATATACTTGGGATAATGATGTGATATCATGCATGATACACAATTGATTAATATGTGTAATTAGTTTCACTCTATTGCTTTCCCAATTTTTTCATTATTACTAGTTTTGTATTTAATTTATAGGGAATGATCCATATTGCTGCAGAGAAGAATTATTATGTTATTCTCAAACTGTTGATACTTCATAATGTGTCATTGGAGAAGACTATGAGCACAGATACAGAAGTAAGTCAGACTACCGACTCTACACATATATAATTGTTAACAAGAGTAAATGAGTTAATAATAGATCGTTATTTACTCTTGTCGTTAATGCTTGAATGTTTTAATTACTCAATTAGGACGATCTGACAGCTTTACATGTGGCAGTAATTCATGATCATAGGGATATTGTCTGTCTTCTCACAAAGGCTGGAGCAGATCTGAATAAAGAGACTAAAGTAGTTAACCGACAACCACTCTTGCGAACAACCCATATTGATTATTACAATAACTATTTCTATTTAATTAGAATGGTCAAACCCCTTTGGACATTGCAAGGGAAAAGGATCACTGTGTTCATCATCTTGAGAATATTGAAAACCTGGTTAGATAAATTTATTGTGATTAATTTATATCATTTAGCATGGAGAAAAGGGTATAATAGTTACACATTGTGCTATATCTTTACAGTTTAATAATGTAGCCAGTGGAAAAGTACCTTATGGAATATCTGATATTGACATTACTTTATTCCGTGACAGTGTAAGTTTTATGATGTAGTTTACAATGATGCATGGTTGTAAATAAAATTCATTAATTTAATTATTATTTATCTGTTTGGCTGTTGCATGTATACCATTTCCTGTTGGCTCTCCTTTTCACTTTATGCCCTTAGGATCAAAAGACACTGGTACACATTGCTGCTGAAAAAGGATTAAATGGCAGTTATTTTGATCAGTTTTTACTGGAAGACGAAACTATGCTATGTCTGAAAGACAAAGTATGTGTATAAAAATTCTACAACCATTAATATTACAATCTACTCAGAATGAATGGACTCCACTGCATTTAGCAGCTTCTAATGGTCATGTAAATACTGTTAGATTTTTGCTTAGAACAGGAGCTGAATTATCACCAGTTAGTTGTATAAAAACTTGCTTGTGCAGTACTAATGTGTAACTATAACATGTTGTCATAATGTATATATATTTGTGTGTTTAAAAATATTCTTTCATTTTATAGTCAGTTATTGAGATTGCTCATGAGTCAGTTGTCCCTTACTTAAAGAATCATGCTACTGAAGTAACTATATATACTGTACTTGGTTTCAAGTGCATTACCTGCTATTGTAGTTACTTAAAGAGGCTGCTTTCGACTTAAATCTTGATGGTGTCAAACAAGCACTTGCTAATGGTGCCAATGTAAGATAATGTTTTACGTGTGTAATCCGGTTTATTGTTACTATTGTTAGCCAATAACAAATAACAATTAATAACAATAACAATTGTTTCTAACAATAATAACAATTCCTAACCTTAAAATATATCAATTGTTAACTAGTGATGGGTGGTACCAGATTTTTCCATTTCGGTTTGATACCAAGGACTTCAACTGAGAGTATTGATGGTACCGAGTACAGTTCCGAGTACATGTGTATCTATCATGAAATAGTCTACACACATAGCCATTTTAATTAATTACTCAAATATTTATATAATAATTAGCCAATTATTAATGATGACAATTACAATGATTAATTAATGTTTATGCTTCCAGAACCGAAACCTTGGTTGGCATTCCTTCAGGATTTGGTACCAGCAAATCAAGCAGAGGAACTGTAGAATCAAATACTTTGAAACCAATGCCACCCATCACTATTGTTAGCCCCTTATAACATTAAGGGGCTTAGCCTCTTAGCCACACTGTCATGAAGATTAGGTTGTTTAGTTTTTAAAATAGCAGAATTACTTCATTACTAAGGGCTTTGCCTAATTATTATCATTATTATTATCATTATAATTATTAATTTTATAATGTTTAACTTTAGGGTTCACCTTGTCTCTTAGAAGCTGTGTCTGAACATAATAGGGCAGTGACATCTTTATTAATAGAAGCTGGTGTTGATCCTAATCAAGTAGATAAAGTAAGATATTAATGAAATACTAATAACATTTCTTGTTTAAATTAGAATGGAAATACAGCCTTACATATTTTCTTACTACATGACCGACATTTCATGGTTTGATAAAATGTCATAAAAATGGTAAAATACACTTCTTTTTCATTTTAGAGTTTTCTTATGTCACAAGCCATGAAGTCATTATTAGACAAGGTTGATTCAAGTATTCTCAACAAAGTATGATTAAACAGTTCAAGTAGTGATGGTGCTTACTATGATTAGAATGGCAAGACTGCACTGGATCTGGCTCTTGCTAGAAGGAGTACTGATGCAGTATTAGTATTCTTAGAAGCTGGATGGAGAGACTATGATAATGAGAAGGTTAGGCATTGAACATGCTATTATATTGCTATTAATTCTCTCTCCTATTTTTACTACTTTCATACAGTTTCAGATATTAGCACTACATTATGCGTCAAAGCAGGGTCTGATGAATGATGTTAGTATCCTTATTTCTAAAGGTGTCCCTGTCAATGTCAAGGATAAGGTGAGTATATTTGTAATTTTATGCATGTAATAAATCATTTAAATTTTGTTTGCGCTCAAGTGAGATCTATCTTTTTACATGATTTTATAGTTTGACAAGACTGCTCTTCATCTTTCATGTGAAAGAGGACACTCTGATGTTGCTAATGCATTGATTAAAGCAAAAGCTGATGTTAATTGTCAAGACAAGGTTAGTAGTAAATAAGAGAGTTTAAAGAGCAGAAAGAGATGTAATTGTAATGAGGAAATGAAGAGGAAAAAGATACATATAATGAATGGGTTACTTTTATGTACAGAGTGGGAAGACACCGGTTCATTATGCAGCTGAAAATGGACACAAGAATATTATTAAAATACTCATTGACAATGGATGTGACTTAAATATTAAGGACAAAGTCAGTTCAACTTTCATGAAATTGATATGTTTTGGTATATAGACTGGCAGAATGCCAATGAATTCCTGTTATGCTAATGATTGGACTGAAGCTTTACAACTGATACAAACAAGTGGTGGGGAATTTAATTATGTAAGTTAATTAGATCAACTTAAAATTAAGTTTTTAAGATCACAGCTATGAATTATAATTTGTCATCTTTTGATGTTCAGGATATGCTAATATTGGATTCTGCAGCAAAAAATGATGTAGAAATGTTTGAGTTAGCACTGTCTAAGACAAGTGATATCAACTGCAAGAATATTGTGAGTATAAAGTACTTGTATGCATAAACATGGAGTCTAACGTTTTATTAAAAAGAAATCAAGAGTGTAAAAAACTGAGCATGGAGAGTTTCGAGTTTTACTATTTCTTTTGTAGCGCAAGAAAACAGCTTTGCATTTT